GGAGTGAAGGGGGTAGCTGCTGATTTAGGGAAAGGACCGGTGCCCATTCCCTCAGAGAGGGGAGACATGAACTGGATCCAAGTCCAGCATCTCCCTGCTGATGCTGTTGAACACAACCTGTGACTCTCATTTGCTGAGCATGGCCAGAGACCCCAGATTCTGCCCATGGTTATGTCTCAAGGGTGTGTGTAGGTGTGAGCTTCAGCCTGGTGCCCAACAGGCCCGTGTTCAAAACGTGGTCTCCACTGAGCACCAACAAGCGTTTGTACCTGTGTGTCTCAGCATGGTTTATGGTGTGTAAAACACCAAACTCTTCTCTCAGAGGACTTCAAGAACATCTGTGGAGCATCCTGACCTGTGAAGTGGGGACAAATGCAGTGAGAGTGAAGATGTGAAGGAGGAGCCATTGCCACGAGGTAGCAGGGACCTTGTGAGGGGCACAGGAGCAGGATTACCAGAGGTTTTGCGCTCTAGAGCCTGGCAGCCAATGTGTGGGGCTCGTACCCTGGTGGGTGATCATTGTCCCTTTGACTGTGTATCATCCCTGGGCTTCTGCAGCTACCAGGGTGTCCCTGTTGCCTGGTCCCCAGAACAGGGCAGCTGCCGAGGATAAGGCAGGGCAGGAACTCTACAACCTCTCTTTGCTAGTTTTCTGCTATCAATCAGAGCTACCCTCTCATTCTTTCAGAGCCATAATGCCTGGGGCTTTGCTCAGAGCCATATTGCCTATGGAGAGGGTCTGAGTCTGGCTTTACAGCTTGTGACACAGGGGAGAGGCCTCAGAACAGGACAGCATTCCCAGGGACAGACTGTGGGCTCTTGCCTTTCATGGAGAAGAGCAGGATAACACCACATGAGACATCTTGGCCACCCTCCAGTCTACCCTTAGCTGATGGCATGACCGAGCAAGATGAGGGGTGAGTTCTGCTGCCACCTGCCCCACAGCACCTCTCATCTCAGCAGGGCTCTGTTCTGGACATCACTGTCCATCTGCCTTCCCAGATGGGCTACTGCACCAGGATCCCTTTGGGATAGTGCTCATGGTCTCCTGTGTGTCCACGCACAGAGGTGGTGGTCCAGCGTGGGGCACAGATGGAAGCAGGCACGCACGCCTGATGCACAGACCCAGGATCTGTGGCACGGAGTTGTGAGGGTCATAAGGAAGCAAGTGAAAGCCATGGTGGGGGAGGCATGTTGCTGTCTGCAGAGCTTCCAAAAGTCCAGGAGCAAGTGGTCCCAGAGCCCTCACCTCTGCCTAGCACAAGACAACAGTATTCCCAGCAGAGGCAGCAGCCTGAAGATGCAGACATCTGAAGCTAAAGCACGGCTGCTCTGGCAGGTATGAAAGGACCTTCCCATCCATGGGACAGGCATTTGTCATGTTTCACCCAGTGTGTTGGGTATGGCTGTGTCACAGCACAGCCCACTGCTCCGTGCTCCAGGTCCTGTCTAGAAGGTGGCTGATGTGGTGGTGATGATGAATTTATGACCTCCCACCCACTGCTGCAGTGGAGGCTGGAGCCACGGATGCTTCCAGAGGATGTCGGGGGAGCTGCGGTTTGGATGAATGATTTTTCCAGCTCTGCAGCTCGGAGCTATGGAAGAGGCAACAAAACAGTAAAACACAACAAGCCTCCAGCTCGGGCCGCCCAGCGAGCTCTGCACCGTGCTCTGGTGGTCTTCACAGCCCCTCCAGCCCAGCAGCATCCAACCTCCACCCTCCTCCATCAGCCCCCGTGCAGGGGTCAAGGTCCTGGCGATGAGCAGGACAATGCTCATCATGGAGATGAGGGACCATTTGAACCTCGCTTCCCACGGCTGCCAGAGCAGGGGCAGGCTGGGTTGGCATTGCCAAGTGGCAGGAGAGGTGGGTACCCAACTCCTGCTGCATCTCCTGGGGACCCGCAGCTGTGGGAACCTGCTGGTGGGTGCCAGAGCACCACAGCTCCTTGATCCCACAGCTTCTCCTCTGCCCTGGTCTCTCCCATGTCCCCAGCTCCCACCAGGGCACAGGGAGTCCAGCAGCTGCCACATCTTCACACAACAGTAGCAGAGCCTTGCTTGTCCCACAGGCACCCTGCCACATTCCAAGCTGGATACCTCCAGGATATTAGGTGCCTGATACCAGGCTGTGGCTGCCCTAGCTGTAGCCATGGTGTGGGGATGCCAACTGGTTATGGGTCTTCCACCTGAGCCATACCAGCACCAGGAGCAGCAGGATTGCAGCCCATTCCTCCCCAGGATCTCCAGCATTGTCTTTCACCAGCTGCTGCTGTCAGGCACCTCCTGGAGAGCAGAAGTGCTAGGGCCAAACAGATCCAAGGTAGGTCTGAACTGGAAGAGGAATTTCTCTTGGGGCAGCCAAGTATGATCAGAGCTGAGGTTCCCTCTTCCACATCCTGCTCTTGCATGTGCAAGGCTTGCCATGGCTGTGGCTCCCTGACCCAGTTGATGCTGGCACTCCAAAAAGGAAGGTTTTCAAGCATATAGAATGCCAAACCAGGGTTCTGGTCCACCTATTGCATCTTCTATCTAGCTCTGCAACTCTGTCCCTCTTCTCTGCATGGCCACCAGGTTGCCCCGTGGCTTCTTGGAAGCAGGTTTGTGCTATTCTGTGCCCTGGGCATCACGGAGGAACCATCCTTCACTGTGTGACTTCATTGGCACCAGACCTTCCTGCCATCAGAGACCATGGGTACCTCCAGTCCCCATCCATCCCCTGCACCAGCAGGCACAAACAGTTGCCCCATAGGAGCTTGCAGTAGCTCACATGAGCTGGACTTTGTTCCCCATTTAGGCTGTACTCTAAATTTTCCCAAGGTGTGTTTTTTTCCTGCTTTTAAGCAAGCTGTAGGAAGGCCTGATAGCCACGCAGTGTGGAAACAGCAGGAGAAATAGCACCTGGGATGTCACCTTGCCATCCACAGGTACCATGTACTAAGGTATCATGCTCGGCCACAAAGCCCTGGGTGTGATCCCAAAGCCTCAGCTCCGTGCTTTAAAAGCAGGTCTCTGGGGATGGGGTGTAGCAGTGCCTGTCGGGGTCCGGGCTGGTGCAGCTGTAGCGTGTGAGCAGCCCAGGGAGCAGAGCTCTCCAGCTCCCCAGCCCACAGCCTGCCGCTAGAGGACAACACGCCAACACGGGTGAGCCTTGCGGAGGAGCATCCACTCGCGTTCACAGGGATGAGCTGGACCCGGAGCTCCCGGTGCAGCCTGAAGTACTCGCAGCAAACCACAGCTTCAGTAAGAGCTGGCTGGAAAGTGGCACTTCCACCCCAGAGGGACTTACTCTGAAGTCCCAGGTTTACCATGGAAACAGCAAAGCTTTCTGGTCCAAACAACTTGACGTCCGGACTTGGTTTTGGCAGGAGCTGAGCGACTTGCTGGAACAAGTGAGCACTTTGAATA